ATTTGTTTATTTATTGTCGACATATGTGGTGTTCACGCATAAAACTCTATACCCGAGCTACACCCTTACTAGGCCCCTTGGAAGGAGTAGTGTATGCCTTTTACGATGGTAAGGGCGCACGAAATCGTTCAGCCTGAATTGAACCAAATCTTATACCGCCGAAAGGCTATTAAATGAGGTTACATTTTACTAGCTCAAGGGAGCGAAAGTGAAATACAATTCGGGTTCCCTGAAACCTTCCAAACCTAGATCCCACCCGACGCATAATTATACTATTGACTTTGTGGTAATTTTCCTTTAACCTTTGAAATCGTGTATGTCTATACTAAATTTGTTCATCTCATTGCATTTCACGCATTCACTTTTTCAAAAAATAAATCAAACATAATTGCATCTTTTCCCAAGTCATCTCATGCATTGTTATATCTATCAATTCCTTCATAATAATTTGTCGTGGACAAGCATGTTTCTTCTCAAGAATAATCCTCATTTTCATGCCTAATTTGTTTGCATTTGATTAAGATCCATGATATCTTATAAGCATTCAAAGTTTAGATGGCTAATAAACATCACCATATTTTTTGGGATTTCTCAAAATTGTTCACCAACAAAAAAATCATTTCCTCTCATGGATACCCAAATTGCTCAAAAACTGGACCACAAGGCAAATAGAAGGCACGAAGACACAGAAGCGTTTGGATGAAGTTAAAGTGAAGCAAGAAAATTTTGAAAATTAAAGCTTGGAGATGAAATGGGGGCATTGATGGCATGGAAAGGGAAAATGGAGAAGATGATTCCTTACGCATCCAACGACATTGCACCTCCAATAAAACGGAGGGGAAAATCTAGTCACTATCACTCCAAGATTTCACGGACATGATCTTCCTACTATGGTGATCACATTCTGACGGCGAATCCACTCCAATCGTTCATCTCATACTCTTGTATCCATAGTTTGAGTTTGGGGGTATGATTTTGCATTTTTACCGAGAGTACAATTTTGTGCATAATCATGGTAAAGCACGACTTTGACACATGAATAATGATTATCCAGTGTGTATGACAATCTATAATGACGACTGAGAATGTAGTATGCGAGTGATCAATGATATTCCTCCTTTGATTCAAAATGACATGTGAATCAGAATCAGTCAATCAACACTTTTGGTTGTTTAAACATAACAATTGAGAAAACTTGCATGAGCGAATGAGCTGCTAGGAAGCCTGTGAGTTTTGTACCGATTCGTTTTCTTTCTTGTGTGCTAGATCCTTTTCTACATGATGATTATGCTTAATGTTTGCACGAGACCAAGTCATGATACCATTAACGAGGAGGATGGAGGCATAGGTGTAGTCCACAAATTAAATGACTACCCATTGAGATTAGCCATGTTTCTTCGGTCACACCATGTTTTCAACCAATCCCTATTCTTTCAAGCCCTTATATTGGAACCCTTCCAAGATTCCATGCGATGTTTAAAATATGGTATTATACATTCTAGACATAAAATACGAGCCAAGGAGGGATCATATCCAAAAAGTATTTGTTCCTCAAATCAAGATATTATGGCCTTGCTTTTGAACTCTAAAAAAAGTAGAAAAAAGATCATGCCACTGAAAAGAGAGTCGGTCATCCAATTTCGTATACTTAAATGAGTTGTTTCACAAAGCCCATTGGCTAAGTAAACCCTCAAATCCTCAAATAAGTTATCCTCTCCTTTTCTCAAGCAGAAGTGCGTGATTAAGCAGAAAGTCGTGAGTTTTGGAAATAGTGGAACCTTGAACTTTTAGCCATTTGAAACGACTATCCCGTGTCCATCACCCTAGCCACATTTTACCTAATTGAAAGTCCTCCGGATAAGCAATGGTGACCCATTTCATGGAGAATCTGTCAAACTGCAAACATTTGCGAGCTAATTTCATGGTAGAAAGATGGTAGGACGAGCGTATTCAAAATGCAACAACTTTGCATAAATTATTTGTCCTGACCCCACTGGTCGAGTGAAAGTGATTTTTTACCTAGGCTCTAAATCCTAGTGAGGTCCTAATTTGCTCAATTTCTTGTGCCACATTTCGTAGTTGCTATGTTTGAATCATTGAGATACCGAGCAACCAATTAGGTTCTTGTAACATTTTCCAAGAAAGATTCACAATTTCACTTATCACCAGCATATTATAGTCGAATGTCGTTTGTGGTGATTGTAACACCTATGTTACATCTCTCATGTGTCAATTTCAAAAGCTTTCTGTGGCCAACCTTTACATGCCTTACGGGTATAGCCAAGGGCCTTGGCACATTTGTAAGTAAACAAAGACCATTTCAGAGGAGAATAGATGTTCAAGCAAGAAAGAGAATGACTTGATCTGCTACCTACATGATCATATGTACAACCAAAAAATCAACAACGTGCCTAAGTAAACGAATCTCGTATTCATGCTCAAGCGCCTTCAAAAATCAAGTCACATGAAATGTCATAGCAAGAATAGTATGTTGTTGTTGGAACACCTACAACCTTACTAATGGAACATGCTATCATAACTGGGGGGCAACTGAAGGTATAATAGAATGATTACTTGTACATACCATCATAACTAGGGGCAACGGAGAAGTATCTACCATTTCAAGAAGCCATAAAAGATATCTCCCTCATCAAAATCATAGTATAGCGATTGATGAATCACAACACCAATACTGGGGGGCAATTGGAGTCAAAAGGATCACACCCAGACAAGGGAAGTCACATGATCCAGTTAAAGAGCAAAAGAGATGAAAATGAATTTATGTAAAAAACTAATAATGCAAAAAATTACAAAAAATTATAAAAAATATTGTTGGTGAGCAATCAAGAAAGCTTCTAAAAGTAATAAAAATAATTTCTACTTATTTTCTTTTTATTATATCCCAATATCTCTCGTTTCTTTTTCAATGAAACCATACAATTATCATACACGTCATAAAGAGCATTTCGCCTCAAATATCAATCTTCACAAACACATCATCATTCATTATAGTCTAAGATTTCATATGCGTATATCACTCAATCAAAAGCCTACAAAATGATTTTTACCCCATATACGTCTCACATCTTCATTTTCCCCTCTTCTCCAATAAAGATAAATTCATTCCATTACTATGCAACTGCATATTAAAAAAAAATATTTTGCATCACACATCAGGCCTTAAGCATACTCATTAGCATTCATTATAGAATGAAATCTCACTTTCATTGGTTTGCTTATGTACAAACAAAATAAATCTTGCAATTAATCTACCTTGTCTTCAAAGGACAATGTCCTAGAAGGTTTCGATCCAAAATATATCCATACATTTTCATGCTATTCCCATTAAAGCGACTACCTACGCCATAGTTGCTTTTTCCTTTACATATATCGATCTTGTGTCGGCAGGCGCTATAAACACTATGAATATCGACCTTGCGTCGGCAGGCGCTATAAATACCATCCATATCGACCTTGCGTCGGCAGGTTCTATAAACACCATGCATATCGACCTTGCGTCGACAGGCGCTATAAACACCATGTAGTATCGACCTTGTGTCGACAGGCGCTATAAACACCATGCACAATCGACCTTGCGTCGGCAGGCGCTATAAACAATATGCATATCGACCTTGCATCGGTAGGCGCTATAAACACCATGCATATCGACCTTGTGTCGGCAGGCGCTATAAATACCATGCACAATCGACCTTGCGTCGGCAGGTGCTATAAACACCATGCACAATCGACCTTGCGTCGGCGGGCGCTATAAACATCATGCACAATCGACCTTGCTTCGGCAGGCGCTATAAACACAATGCATTATCGACCTTGCGTCGACAGGCGGTATAAACACCATGCACAATCGACCTTGCGTCGGCAGGCGCTATAAACACCATGCAACAATCGACCTTTCGTCGGCAGGCGCTATAAACATCATGCACAATCGACCTTGCGTTGGCAGGCGCTATAAATACTATGCACATCAACCTTGCGTTGACAGGCACTATAACTACCATGTCTATCAACTTCGCGTCGGCAGGCGCTATAAACACCTTGCATAAAATATCACATTAATAAACGCATCCAAGTTGTTCGGTTTGATTTTTATCACCGTGACAACTTGAATACATCATCAATAATGTTCAGTTTGATTCTTATCACTGAATTTATCCGTTCAACTTGTCTAGTTTGATTTCTATCACTGTGGCAACGCGAATATATCATAAATTCTTGAATGTTCAGTTTGATTTTCATTACTGACATTTATCTGTTCAACTTTTTCAGTTTGATTTCTATTACTGTAACAACTTGACTAAGTAATTGGTATCAAATGTGCAGTTTGATTTCCATCACTCACATTTTCACATTCAACTCGTCCAGTTTGATTCATATCACTGTGTCAACTTGGATACATCATCAATAATGTTTAGTTTGATTTCTATCACTGAATTTATCCGTTCAACTTGTCCAGTTTGATTTCTATCACTGTGGCAACTTGAATATATTGTTCATATCAAATGTGCAATTTGATTTCTATCACTCACATTTTTCCATTCGACTCGTCCAGTTTGATTCCTATCACTGTGTCAATTCGAATACATCATCACTTATGTCCAGTTTGATTCCCATCACTGAGTCAACTTGAAAACGCCATTGCTATCAGAAGCCAAATTGATGCCCATCAATTATATTTTTCTATCTCAGCTTGTTCTGTCTATTTCTATCACGGACAACTTGAGTTGTCGTCAACACCAAATTATTTCCCATTCCAAATTCTGATCCATTCATGTTTTGATCAGATCACCATAGGAAAATGAGATTTGAGTTCCCATCCTAATATAATCTCAATACTTTGAATGCATCTTGTACCAAGAAACGTACAAATGGGGGCAACTATTGATACCCGTTTTGGTCTGGATCCTCAAATCTCATTTTCGAATGAAACTTCAATTCTAAGTCGGGAAGGAGTAATTCCTTTATACGAGGATTTTGATTTTGGGGAAATGAGCTAATTATTAATCGCCCGCTCAACAAACACATTTCATTATCTTTGAACTTAGCCATCTTGTTACAAAAACCAAACTAAAATCCAATTCCAGTACACCAAGACTCATAACCAGAAAATCCCCAACATTTTTTAGGCATTTAGCCCATTCTTGCATCCAGTCATCCAGCAGCCCATTCGGCCAAAATTGTCACGTTTGATTCCAGTTAGTCCAACCCGATTAGACCCGCTACTCCTCTCCTCCTCCATCATCGCCTCATTGCCTGCAAAAACAGAGAAATACTAAGCTCCATGCTTTCACGAGTTGTAAAAGACAGAGAAGTAAATGGAATGGAAGAGAAATTGGATCTAGTTACAAAGAAATTGAAGGAAGAGATGAGGATTTAGGTCGTCATTGAAGGAGGTGGGTGTGTGAGACAGTCCTTCTGGATTCTATAAAAGGGGCAGCAAGGTTTGTTGAGGATATTAATTATTTAGTCAAAATAATTAATTACTTGTCCTTCAAGTCCCTTTTTTCCTTGTCCTTGTCAAAGAAGGAAACTTGGTTGTCATTAGGGTTTTAACCCTACGTCTATCTCTATATAAGCTTAGCTACGAGATTGTCGTAAGCAAGCCATCACAATGCAGTCTCATAATAAAGTCGTCAACCGTGAGCTCTTTCCGAGCTCACCGTGGATTAGTCTCGATCAATAAATCGATCGAGGATACCACGTAAAACTCTCGTGTTCTGTGTTCGTTTCAATTCTGCATCATCAAATTTTACATGGTATCAGAGCGCAACTCGATCCTTTGTTAGGGTTTTGAGCTTCCGCAAGTTTTGGTCTTTTGTCTCATTGTCTCCGTCAAGCAGCCACGGTGAAAGAAGTTGCTGGCTCCATCGTCGTCGTTAGTCCGGTGAATCTTCTATTCGTTCGTTCATCCGACAGTAAGCAAGAATCAGTTGCATCCGCCCAGGAGTTTTCAGCCTTCATCCGTCGCCACTGAAATCATTGCCTCGCTGCCGTCCATGGCGATCGATCCATTCTTCCACGCGATCACGTTTGGATGATTGTTTCGAACGCCATCAATCTGTCCTTTCGAGATTTTATGTCCATCCAGAACCTTGTTCGGCTATCATCAGTCAATTCCACTCTTGTCGTCCGCCTGTCGTGCGGAGTTGATTGCTCCGTCGTCTCCATATTCACATACCCAAGCTCAGTCCTATGGACGACGTTGGTTGTGTGGCTTGCTCAGTTTCATTGAGAAATCTTGTTGGCCTCACGGCGAGGCAATCTTCTTTCAAGGGTTTTCGTCCATATTCAGCCCTCGCCAAGTCAATCTCATCATCGGCCGTCCCCAGTCCAAAGTGATCCATGCTTTAGTCCAAAGATCAGATTATTTTTTGGGGGGTTTTGTTGCTTAATTGCACTGCCAAAAAGGTCAAGGTCTTCATTAAGAGTTGGGTTTTGTCCAAAGTCAATGTGTACCTTCCTTTGCATGCCGTGAAGATACACTTTCATGCATCGGAGGAAGATTATTATGGGATGACAAGACCGTTTGGTGGGAGTACGTTGGGTCGATAGAATTATATAGTCATCATATTTTCCGGCCTTCTGTTCGTGGTGGAGTTGGAAACTAAATGGGTTGTCAGTATGCATCAGCTAAGTTCGTCAGTTGCTTCAGCTTTTGCTCGACCATAGTTGCTCGTCATCTCATCTTAATTTTTTTACAGCCGGGTCATCAAAAAGGCTTGTCCATTGGGGTTGTAGTCGTCATCAAGGTCACGTGGAATTCAAGAGTTGCATGGGAAGTGGACTTCTATCAATGGTTTCTTTGCAGATCATGGGAATCCAAAGTTAAGTCGAAGGCAGCCACTATCATTGTGAAGTTTTTTCATGGTTGTTGTCAGGTCGTCATCAAGATCATGGAGATCATGTCACTAGCTACATCGCTGCGAGTCATGCAGGGATGCTTTCCGGTATGCAATTTCATTGTTGTAGTTGCATTCATCTCATTTGTTGAATAGTGTTCATCAAGCAAGTCTTCACCAACATCACAGTCATGGCATTGAAGACAATCACAACGTCTCTTTGTCGTCCCTTCAATAGCTAGTGTTGGGGAGATAGTACAGCTTATGTCAACAAAGTTTGTCAAGTCCTTGAGTGAGGGATGTCACGATCAAGAAGCGATCGTCCCCTTCGCGTTCAGAATTGTTCATTTTTCAGTCTTCACCATTCTAACTTTCAAGCTGGGCATTCACGTCGTTCATGCTCCAGCTTGAGGGGGAGAATAGAAAATCATCACACATAGGTCGACTAGTTAAGTCATCAAGTTGACCGCGTCTATCTATCAGTCAGGTTGCTCGGAGAAGCACAGTCAGCAGTGCAGTTAGAAGTCTCCAAAGTAAGCAACACATTCATCCGTCTCCAGTCTCATCCAAGAAGTCAAGGTAATTCCGCCATGTGGAGTTCGCTATTGTTGAACTAGGTCAAGCATGGAGTGGTTTCATCATTTATCTACCTCTTCCGCAAGCGAACAAAGTCACAGCCTGTTGGATCGTCATTGCCAGCAAGAGGTTGTTTGAGTGTTGTTCAGTTTCAAGCTCGACATTCTTATCATCATGTCTTCGCTTGAGGGAAAGTGTTGATGATATTAATTATTTAGTCAAAAATAATTAATTACATGTCCTTCAAGTCCCTTGTTTCCTTGTCCTTGTCAAAGAAGGAAACTTGGTTGCCATTAGGGGTTTAACCCTACGTCTATCTCTATATAAGCTTAGCTGCGAGATTGTCGTAAGCAAGCCATCACAATGTAGTCTCATAATAAAATCGTCAACCGTGAGCTCATCGTGGATTAGTCTCGATCAATCAATCGATCGAGCATACCACGTAAAACTCTCGTGTTCTGTGTTCGTTTCAATTCCGCATCATCAAATTCTACATAGAGGAAAGGGGGGAGATCGGCCAGTTTTGTTCAACCTTGGATCGATAATACCATTCCCAGAAATCCCTCCACATATTATCACTCCCAAACCACAACACCATCCTTGCCATTTCTTTTTGCTAAACATAGAACACAAACAATAAATCCAGAAAACCATTCCTGGCTAGCAACCATTCATCTTTTCATAAAGACAATCCAAACACGATTCCATAGAACGATTCCAAATCATATAGATATTTCACCCTAAAGCATTCTTAATAAATCGAGGAAAAAAAAGAAATACTGACCTTCGCTGAGACGTCGCCGCCGACCAGCCTCGTCGCCCTCCGTCTCCAGCTGCCGTCAACCAACCTCACCACCTCCGTCCCGCCAGCCGTCGCGCCTCACTGCCAATCGTCTTCGTCTCACCGCCGATCAACAGACTGCCGCTGACCATCGCATCCGCCGCCGTACCCCTGCTTCAGACGCCGCGTCTCCACCGCCTCCAGACAATCGCCGCGCTTCCATCATCGCCGATCATCGCCCTCACCAGACAACGACTCACCCGCCACTGTTATTTGCCCTGCTCGGGTCGCAGGCAGAAAAGGAGGAAGAGAGATGGAGAAGGGTGTCGTTTGAGAGGTAGAAAACGAGAGGCTGCCGCTACATCGGATTCTACAAGGCAAGTTTTCTTTTGATCTCTTAATTATCCAAATTACCACACTAACCCTCTAATCCTGGCTTATTTACCGAAATACCTCGTGAAAATTATATGTACAGTCCTCAAATTTTAAGTAACTCGAAATAACCACCACTTTTCTTGAAATCGGACAAAAAATAAAATAAACTACCTAATGTAATGAGCTAGAATTGAATCTAGATTTAGAATGCATCATGTTAAACGTTAAAACACTCAGACAAGTTAATTATCCTACTACATAGTTGCAATTGAACCTATTTAACCGGAGTTGAAACTTAACTAATTTCGTACTAAGTTAATCTCAACCTCATACAATATTTAATCTAATACGAACCGTACCTGATTGATTAATCTATACTTTCAGTAAATTAGTATCTCATGTAAAGGTTAAAATTTAAAATTTAGGAACGGATGTGTTCCTCTTTTAAATGATATTATATTATAATTAATTATCAATCGAACTATGCGGACTTTGATCCCGAGATGTCGAGTTCGTAGGCGACCGAAAGGTTCAAGTCCATACCTAAAATATTATTTTATCAAATTACCCAATTAAATCATTACCGATGGATACATGATCAACTTATCACCTAACCTCTTTTTAACAAATTACGATCGATGGATTATGTTCAAATCAATAAACTATTACATGTCGATGGGTACGTGATCAATATGTATTTAATTTATCTCAAACAAATTATGATCGAAGGATCGTCATCAAATTAAGCAACTATTACGTACTGATGGGAACGTAAGCAAATGTTTTAAAACAAGTAAACGTTGGGCGAACTACGAGTGCTTTGATCCCGAGAAGTCGGGTACGTAGGCGGCCTACGGGTCCAAGTCCACTAATAAAATAAAAACCTTTTTCCCCGATAAAATTACCAAAAATATTAATTATTTCTTCCAACGTAATTACATGTTGATGAACTTGTAATATATATAAAAAATGACATCTCGTATTCGATAATAAATCCAAATAATTTCAAACAAGCAAATATCAAATAGAAAGATAAATCAAACTTATAGTACCGATTTAGGGCGATGTAAGGGTGCTAATACTTTCCTTACTTGTAATCGACCCCGAACCAATAAATCTATTTCGCAACCGAGCCGAGCCTAAATCTTAGTCGATTTAAACTTTGCTTTCAAGTGTCCAATTGCACCATATCAATTCTCCTCCAAAGACAAGGACCACGAACTTTGTGTCATCCTCTCGCCGATTATCTTAATCCACCAAACCACATTTGTATCAACTGACTCTTCGACACAAGGAATTACCTTATGCAAATCTCCTTTGATCTACCAGATAAATGCATATTTCAAATGGATCTGCCAAATATTTTCAAATCTCAAATCCTAAAGTCACCGAATGACGACCCGCCAAAATGAAATCCACAAACCAACATGGCCCAAAGCAAACACTTATATACAAGGGTCTTTTCCTTCTATATTCAATGTCATACTTGGATTGCACTATAACAATCCTCCCTTCAATACAAGGACAGCGAACTTTGTGTCCTCTCCTCATTGATTATCTTAAACCACATTATTTCGATGGCTCTTTGACAAAAGGAATTACCATATGCAGATCAACTTTGATTTGCCAGATAAATGCATGTCTCAAATTGATGTGCCCGAAAGGCACGAAACATGGCGGTCCCTCCCGATGATGTGGTGTGCTGAGGGTGGGTGGGCAAAATTAACAGATCAAGTGTTGGGAGAGTGGGGAGATGGTAGAAATTGTAAAAGAGAGGGGAGAGCGGCACAAGTTAGAGACAAGAGAGAGAAATGGTACAAATTGAAAAAGAGAGAAAGGGAGAGCAGCATTGGGCAAGGCTGGGTGGGGTTAGGGTTTATTATTAAGTTATATATATATATATAGTGACTACTTCGGTGCACTCACAAAAATGAGTGCGCTCAATGCACCCAACTCAAAAACTAGTCTTAAGGTGTCGGATTTTAAATTTTAATTTGTAGAATTAGTGTAATATGATGATATAACAGATGATAATAACTAATTAGTGGATTACCCTAAGCCCTAGACCTCCAATTTTGATATCTATCCCTAAACCCCAAGTTGTAAACCCTAACCCTAAATCTCTAAACTCTAAATCTTTCAAATTAAAGTAAATCTTCAATGGTTTTTGTGCAAATTCATGCGCGTTATTGTTCATCACATCATAAGTGATGAATGACATCATTTTAACATAAATCGCATGTTTAAAATGACGGTTATGAAGTGAGTGCACTGAATACACCCAAAAAAGTGAGTGAACCGAAGACGCCACCATATATATATATATGGTTATGTCTTCGGTGCACTCACTTTTTTGGGTGCATTCAATGCACTCGCTTCATATTTGTCATTATGAGCATGCGATTCATGTCAAAACAATGTTAATCATCACGTATGATACGATGAACAAGAAACCCCATGAATTAGCACAAAAATTATTCAAAATTTACATTAATTTGAAGAAATTATGATTTATAGATTTAGGGTTAGGGTTAGGGTTCATGATTTGGGGTTTAGGGCAAAGTTCAAAATTGAAGGATTAGGCCTTAGGGTAATGCATTGATTAGTTGTGATCTTATATTATATTATCATATTACACTAATCTTACCAATTAAAATAAAAAATTGATGTCTTAAGACTACTTTTAGAGTTGGGTGCATTGAATGCACTCATTTTTGTGAGTGCATATATATATATATATATATATATATATATATATATAATATGATATGATAAATTTGTTAAGTGGTACCTGCAAAATAAATTCTATTTTAGTCATTAAATTATTAAATTACAATCTTATGTGTCTTCTACCTACGATATTATTACTTAAGATATCGATTCTCTAAAGGTTTTTTATCAGTCGAACACCTGTTGGACCACTAAAATGCAAGCCCATTCACATTAACTGATCATGCTCGGGGTTCCGACATTCCGACAACATTGGTCACATGTAAAGTTGAAGAGAGAGAGATTGTTCTACTTTTCTAAAAACCATGTCAAAGACTGAACCAAAGTGTTTGTATGTACAACATTGGGTGTGGTAAAGCAAACATTTGTGGATAACAGCTATATATGCAAAATTTCAAATCCCCCCTTCTTTTCATCTTCATTATGGGAATCGCTTTTCCTATAAAAAAAAATTAACACAGTTTTCCATTTACAAACATCATGTGGAACAAATCACAGAAAGCCGCAGTCTTAAAACAGAAGAGTGGCTGCTGAAGACACTTCAACATAGCCTGAGAGCCATCTCATGAAGAAGAGCTCGCTTCTGCGAAGCATTGATAACATGGTCAGTTTCGGCATTCTCAAGCACGTCAGCTATAATGGCCGCTGCATGTCCAAGTGGTTCTTCCGCTGCTCTTCTCAGCATGAAGGCCTGCCTCATCAAAATGAATGGTCAGTAATATTGGTGCTCGGTTCATTACCATTTCACGTATCTCAAGTTGTCTGCTAGGAAACTATAGGTATAACTGCGAGAATGAATCTCATCCCATCACAGCAGAACGCACAAACATATTTCAGACCCAATAAAGTTGTCATTACAAGACATAGCAAGGGATAGAGAGGGAGGGAGGTTACCTGGCCATGATGAGATACAATTACTGTACATGGTTGCTGCAGCCAAGGCTCCCCATCTATTTGCACAGGCAGAGGAGCAAAAAGCTGTATCTTAATCAACTGCCCCTGGGCAAGTCGGCGTGCACGTGAAAGCCCCACCTGCAATGTACAACATTGATCCAATTTTACCATAGGCCACTAGCTTATTCAAAATAATATAGATCATTGAACGGCACTTTAAGGACAAGGCTGTCTGGGAAAATTCAGTTGCAAAACCAGCAGAGAAATTTATCATACATTTAACAGCAAGGACATGGCTTTGAGTACATATGCTAAAAGGACCCAAATATAAAAAGTCTATGTTGTACCCACAGCTATGTCAAACTCAAAGTCAAGTGCTGATACAGAGAATTTACAACATCAGAGTAGTTCACCTGAAGCTTTCCCAAGTGCCATGTTCCAGATATGCTCACAACTTCGAGTAACTTATCATGCATAGATTGCGGATCAAAACTATCATAAGACTCATCCTCATTTTGCCATAGGTCTACACCACCCATGTAACTTCCTATGTTTGCAACGAGTACACCTTCTGCATCCTGCAAGGTCACAAGAGAAAGTATAACCTACCAACACAATGACTAATGTTGATATGCCAATTCAACACAGAATCAATTCTGATACCTTTCCATCATTAAGAACTTCCCTAGGATTACATGTGAATGCTTCACAGAATACATCCAGGATGTAGCAGAGTTATACAGCCAATAAAGATGAATTCCTGGTTGTAAAACTTGCTTAAAGTTGAAAAGTAAATATGAAAAGCTTTACATTAGAGGTGACATACAATACAGGTTATTTACCTTTCTATTGTTTAGCTGCTACTAATTATCACCAAGATGTCAATTTCAATTATTTGGAGCATATTCTCATTGAAAGAAACAAAATCTTTAAAATGAACTTTCAGAATCTGATTACAACCCTCCTACTTCCCATGCTGAATGAGAATACAGGGAGAAACCAATCCTGCACCAAAATTCAAACTTGAGCAAGAATTTTAACAAAATTACCTCTGGGACCTCTATCTCAACCCCATCAACTTCCACCCTCACTTGCCATGGAAAATCAACAAATGTACGGTCCATTATATTCTTTGCACCTTCTCTTGCATAAAGAACTTTGTTCATAAACTGAAAAAAAATGTCAGCATTTCAGCCAAGACGACTCATACATTAGGCTGTGAAATCCAAATATGATGTAAAGCACAAAAACCCAAGGCCTCATCATCAATCCAGCTAACCATCTCACTTGACAAATTCATAAATAAAAAAAGGAGACTATCTCTTGACAAACATGCTCCTAGAGTTAAAATGCCAACCTAATTTGAATAGTTTTAGTCTAGTTTGCTTGTCTACGGAAAACAAGCATGAAGCATCTTCCTCCCAGGTTCTGGTGATGTTTCTTTCACCATTTAAAGCACAGCTCATGTTAATGCGAACAGTCTGTACCTGGTTATAGAACTTCTCAGGATTTTCCTCCCTCAAATTGTGGATTTCAAGAGCAACCTTGGCGTCACACCCGACACCTGCAAACAAATGCTAAAATAATAAGCCAACACAATCAAGCAAAACCATAACATTATTCAGCATAGCTTAGTTGAAGAAACCAGAAAAAAGCAAAACTGGCCCAGAAATTAAATCCAAAACCACCGAGCCATTCACTTGCCAAGATAGTTGTTCATAAATTTTGGTGATTGGAGTTGTTTCCCTTGATTGTTCATAATCCCCACCTGCCACCTATCAAGGACGGTTACAGCAGCATGCTCAATATCATGCATTAAGGTGCAGAGACCTCCTTGTCTTTCCAGTGCCCCTAAACCACCTCCCCAGGAGAGTACTCTGGCCAGATCATTTCCAGTTCCAGCTGGCAGAATAGATACAGGAGGTGGAGAGACAAAATTTTGTTTGTCTATAGCATCAAGAACCCACCCTACAGTGCCATCTCCTCCACAAACAAGAACTCTAAAGTGAGGCACCCTCCGGAAAAGATAAAGTCCTACTTCTGGCCCCTGTACTGAACTCAATTCAAATACCTGTAAGACAGTGAAGGAGCACAAAATAAGCTAATGTCATGTTATAATGGAATGGCGGGAATGTAAACCAGAAAAATAGCGTGAGCTTGAATTAGCAATATGAAGAAGCAATATACACTACTAAGGCATTTTTCTAATGAAAAGATACTAAAATTAATATTTCCAAATTAGCTAATTCAAACATGTATCAGCAAGCAGAAAACCAGAGAAACTGACGCATTTGATTACTAAGTAAATAAGAGAACAACATACACCTTGCATAACTATTAATAATCATGATAGATACCACAAGACATCATGTGGTAATAACTTTATTTTATGTACTTCGGCTTTATTGATCAACGCTCTTTTTATGCATTAAAATATAACATAGCAAATATTGAATCGCAGCTGTACCGTTAGTCAAAGTGAACCTTATGAAAATAATGGTCAAATATCCCCCAATATCCCAACCTTCAAAAGTTGCATAGAAATTAATGGAATTTTAGGAGTCATCTCCTTTCCAGTTCTCCTTTCCTGGTATCCCAAACATTTTAGGATGTGTATTAAGATGATGAGGCAGCCAGTGCAGAATTGCTTGATTACAAAAATATGCACAAAAAAGTGCAGATCATGAAAACTAAAGAGCCTGGAAAAAGATCAACCTGAACAGGATTTAGAAGCAAGTTCAACCGTTGCTTTAGGGAGTCTCCACGCCGAGCTCCACTCTTCTTGTTAATGAAAACGAGGAGGGGTCTTGCATCAGATGGCAAATCAATTATCTCGTATCTCTGCTTCATACCTAGGACATGAGATTCATCCCTTTCATTCAGTGAGCCGCTCCTTTTCAAGCTAGGTCTTGATTCCAACTTATTATCCACATTCGCACTATCACGACAAGGACTCGCCACTTTGAGACTACCAACACAGTTTTCCTCACCACAAATGCAATAATTTTCACAAGGATGGGTCTCAGCTGTGGGTTCAGTGGACGGATCACCAATACTACCACTATTGCCAGTGTCAACGGGTGTTTCGTTCCCGTGTTTATACTTCTTGGTTTGACTCCTAATACTTGCACGCACTGAAGAAGCAATTTCATTGGCTCCATGAGTGATCGAACTCAAAAACCCACCTGGAACATTCCACTGAAGTTCTCGCACATACAGGGGCGATAAAATCAATCTTCTGTAAGGACCTAAATCACAAATATCACCAGTTTCACTGGACATACCACTATGGCAATCAACATGGACAAGTCGTTGACACCAAAAGCAACACCATATGGGTGATCCGCCAAGAAAAGATCCACTACATGGCTCCTCACAATAACTGCAGAAGGATGTTTCATCGGGTTGATCCATTATCTCAGTCCACCGAACAGCCCATTGATGCATGACACTATCACATCCAACCATAGAAACACATTTGCAGTCCTTGGGTGCATTATTAGAGCATCCAAGGTGAGCTACAGCACCACAAATACTGCAACAGTGGATAAAGCTATCAGAAGCCACCATAGGGCCAAGAGTCTGAGACGGACACATGGATTTCAAACAAACACAACAATTCAGATTCTTTCCACGAGACACTGATTCAAGCACCCATGTATGGGGTGAAGCTGGAACCTTGTGCCTCGTCTTTGGATTTTTCTTCGACCTGGCTATAGCCTTCATCCAACTTAGATTGATATTCCTTCTCCATTGGAAAGCCGTGTATGCTATGGTCAGAATTCCAACCACAGCAGCAAGAAAGCAGGATACCATGAAAACATAGGATTCAGTTGGATTCTTGTTGTTCCAGCCAGGGAGTGGCATCCCAATTTCTGTATCGTCGTCCATTTTTAACGCATTACATATTCAAGCTGTCAATAGCTAGAGAAAGACCAGCAAAGTTCAACACAAAGCAGTCCATGAAATGAGCAAAAATCAGCAGATCACTATGAGAAAAACCCCAGCCAGCTCATAGGTCCACTACACCCCTAAATCGATCAGGGGGGGGGAAACTTTCACAAACTTCAGTGATCAGACTGCAAAACCGTCAACGGGGAAGACCAAAGTAATCAACAAATTATCGATCTAGTGCTCACTGGAACCCCGAATCGCCCCAAAGAAAGAAGCTGGTTGCAGAATAGAAGCAACAAGTGGAAGACGGTAAAACGAAACTGTCAAACAAGGCTAGAGTGAGAATTTAGATAAACGGCGAAGAGAAATTGAACGATTCACACTGGTCCATAAATAAGTAAAGTAGACAGGACTTAAATTTAGGGATGAGACTCCATTACAACAAACAAAGGCGAGATTCCTCCGTCGGAAAGAATGACATTGGTTCGAACAGGAGAGGTGGGGGAACTTACACTAACAATGCAAGAGCGATTGAGGAAGAGGAAAGTAGAGGAGATGAACCCTAACCTAGCGTAGGGAGATTGAATAATGGCCAGGAAAGGGAAAAGAGCGAGCAAATCTAGAGAGAAAAAGAAAGAGGAACTCGCACAATTTTGATTCGAAATCTACAAAAACTAGCACATTCTCGGTCCGTTGGCTAGAAGAATTTTATCGAGTATATAATAATAGATATAATAAATTATTTTAAATGCATAAAATGATTGTTATCTACTTTTAGTTGTGCACATAACATTTTTAAAAATGATTCAACTATACATAATATATTTAGATCTCCATAAAGAGAAAAATAATAAGCATTACATATAATTAATAAATAAATAAATAAAATTAATTGTCATTCATTATTTAATTAAACCATATATCTACACATGAATATAAGGAAATGTCAAGGAAGCCCGCACAAGTCGGATGACCCTAATTGTCTTTTCATATCTAGGAATGACGAACTATCTATACATTAATTAAATAAAATAAAACTTTACGAGAAAACTAAACGTTTACAGAGTTTCTCTATCTTCATTGATGCAAAAAAAAAATGAACCAACCTTTACCCTATCCCCTTGCATCTCCATCTCTCCATCTTCAACCTATCTCCGATCACCATGGTGCCAATATAAATCACGGCATGACCCCTCTTTTCTTCCCTTTAGGATCGAAATCACTATACCCTTTTTGTTGTCACCATGGAGAAATCCGATTTCCCCTTTAAGTCTTCGGCTGCCATCAACAACCAGAGAATTAAGGATCAAGGAGAGGGGAATAGATACCGGAATCCAAATTCACTACTGCATGTTCTCATCTGTCTTAAGAATGGTGTAGTATTACTCTACATCTGTCTTTGCCCTTCTCTCCGTCCGATCATCGAGTTCTCATCGCATGGGTTCCCATTCTTCTTTTTGCGCTTTCGATCTGCAGTGGGAGCGACACTATATTCATGGATCTACAAACAAACCCATCGATCACTAGCGAAACCCTGACAATGATTTATTAAGCACAATACCAGCTCACCTTTTTTAGATAAACTCTGGTACTCTACTTCTACTAGGGCTGGCTATTTGGACCGGGACCGGATGAAAAACCGGAAACCAGACCGTATAACCCGGACCGAGACCGGACCGGGACCGGATAGTAAACAATCCAATCCAATCTTTGGGCTTAGATTTGAGGTAAAAAACCGGATAAAGACCGGATAAGAGAGCTCAACACCCAAAACTTAAGGGTAATTTGCATAAACGGTCACAAACCTTTACACTTAGTACAAAACTTAACCAACTCCTCACCCTTTTAGGCCTTAGGCCACTCAAATTCCCACAATCTCAATATAAAATCAAGACCGAATTGGGACCGGACCGGGTCAAGACCGGACCGGATCAAGACCGGACTGTATCCAATCCAATCTTCGGTCCTTATATTCACAAAAAAACTGGACTGGACCGGATCAATTTGGACCAATTTAACCGGACCGAACCGTATAGCCACCCCTAACTTCTACCATTATCGCCGGCAATCTCAAAGCTTATCTCTCTCTATTGCTGATTTCATCTTTTTTTCCTTTTCCTGCTTATACGCTCAAAGAGGAAGTATTTGGGTGGACATTCTATTGGGCTTTTTTATTTATTTATAATCTTATATTGGGCTTTGGATATGGGTTGTACCATTGAGTTACGTCTATTCAATGAACTCGATTGGATTTGGTTCATTTTTTACTTATTATTTGTACTGGCACAGGTCCCGGCCCGTTGCCCGGAAGAGTTTAATCGAGGAATATGATATATAATAATGGATATGTAATAGATGATTTGAAATGCATAAAATGATTTTTTTTACATTAGTTATGCACATAACATATTTGAAAGTGATCCAACTATGCATAATGTGTTTTAGACCTCCATGAAAAGAGAAAAAAATTATAATATAACTATTACTTATAATTATTAAATGTACAAAGAAATAAATATAACTAATTGTCATTCATTACTTAATTAAACCATATAGTTCAATATTAGAGTTGTTTCTCATAATACATACATACATAATCAACCTTTAAGATGAAAGAAAATGTCTCCTCATAGAGTTTAGTATGTCCTTTAAGTTTTTTCCAATAGAGAGCATTCTTTTTTACTACACCGTTGATAATGAATCTGAAGTTGCTTGATTTGAAACACATAGGAGATGATACTAAATTGTTGCTAATAGTTAGTTGGACAATATGTTGTGTATGGACTTATCAAATTATTCTCAGATCGCATACATGTCTAGCAACAATGTAGTAATTTTCATGCAACAAATTTTTTTTTTCATGAAATAATTCAATTAATAAAAACATATGAAAATCATATTACATGAAATATATGTTACTCATTAGGTTGATGAATGAGCGATGGGCGATATGCTTCTTTAATTTGTATTTTATTTTATTATCTTTCAATGGTGTCGGTCTTCACTTCTTTTAATTTAGTTATTTATTTGTATTTTTCATTTAATAGGAAGATGGCTACATGCTTGTCCAATAGGCGTCTCGGTTTTGGTGGGGTGATGAGGAGGGACACTCGAAAATCAGGTGGATGGCCTGGCGGGGATATGTGTAAGATTAAGCATGAGGGGGGAATGGGCTTTCGCCGGTTTGAGCAGTTCAATCAAGCCCTTTTAGCCAAGATCGGATGGCGTATCTTAGTCGAGCCTCAGTCTCTTCTAGCTCAAGTATATAAGGGTAAGTATTTCCCCTCTGGGCATTTCCTCACTGCTAAAGCCAGGTCGCGCCCATCTTGGGGCTGGCAAAGCATTTTGTATGGTCGGGATTTATTGGAGATGGGTCTCAGATGGCAAATTGGGAATGGGCGCTCGGCGTCCCTGCTTCGGTCCCACCTGAATTCCTCCGCTGCAGCTTGATCCCCCGAGGTATAATTCGGTGGTCTTACCAGAGGAGGGTGATCCTACCGTGGCTGGTGTAATTTGTCAAGGGGAAGGGCGTTGGTGTGATCGTAAGCTCAGCAAGTGGTTTGATCCACCTACTTGCCGTATTATAAAAACTATTCCCCTTCCCCGGCAGAACCTTGAGGATAAACTGATTTGGCATTTTACTCCTGATGGGGTGTTCTCAGTCAAATCGGCTTATCATCTGGCGGTCTCCCTTGATAGGTGGAGGGGGCGGTGGAAGGTGTCGGCTAGTTGGATGGATAGATCCAGTTGGATCCGGTTGTGGGCGGCGAATATTCCTCCTAAGCTGAAAGTCTTTGTTTGGCAAACCCTGAATCGAATTCTTCCCACCACAGAGGCCCTTATTTCTCGGAAGGTCTCTATCCTCCCTCGCTGTCCGGTCTGTTGGGGTGGCCCGGAAACCATGGAGCACCTGTTTTTAGATTGTCCGGTTGCGCGTGCGCTCTGGGGCCATGCGGGGCTTGAGTAATTAGGGGAGGGGTTGCCTCGCCATACTTTTCCTTTGTTTCTTAAACGTTTAATGGCCTTAATCCAGCAACCGACGCTTCTCATGGCAGTGGTCTCTGTCCTTTGGCACATCTGCGGTCTAGAAGTTGGGTGGTGTTTGAAGGAAAGCAGTTTGGGTTCCCTGCGTTAATGAGGCAGTTTTTCCAGCAATATGAGGAATGGTTGGGGTTGCCGGTGGATGTGCCCCCCATGCCCCCCCCCCCCCCCCGATGGTTCCACGGTCAGATGGGTCGGGTCCGGCTGCTGGGCTTACCTGCCAGTGGGACGGGGCTACCAGGAAGGGCTCCCACTCAGCAGGTGGCATGGTTCTTCTGTCTCTCTCGGGGGATGTTCTTATGGCTAATGGGATTCAGTTTTAGGGGATTGATGACCCAGCTGTGGTGGAGTTGCTTGTGCTCCGGGAGGCTGTTGCTTGGTGTTTGGGTCTGGGTTTTACGAGGATGAGCTTTGAAGGGGATGCCAAAATCATCATTGATAAGATCAACTGCAAGGATGCTAGGGACAACCGGATGGGTGCCATTTTTGAGGAAGTTTTGGAGTATTTTGGTAACAACCCTGGGTTTAGTGTGCGGTTTGTAGGTCGGAGTAGTAATAGGGTAGCCCATTTGGTGGCTAGGAAAGCCCTCTCTTTGTACCCGACTATGAGTCGCTTCTTTGATTTTCGGACCTGGCTTGGTTCCAGGATGTAACTATCTACGTTTTGGTATCAATATATGATTATCTTTTGTCAGAAAAAAAGGAAGATGGCTACACTTAGTGCGTGCTTGACCAGTGATCGCTTGCGTGATCGATCTTTAATTTATAAGTCGATGCACACTCTCTATGCAATCCTAACTAGGCCAAGCATAACCTAGCTAGGGTTGTAGTAAAGTGGCTCAGTTGTATTCCAAGGGAACCCTAAGCTTACTATTACTTCGCTCTGAAATACTATCTAATCGGTTCAAAGGTTTGTTGAAAAGTCTAATCTAATCTACTCCTAAAGGTAAAGTGAACAACCAACCAAGTGGTTGGGAGATCGCTATAGATGAGACGGTTGCCTAGGGTCAAATCCTCATAGTTATGGTTGTCAAATAGGGTTAAGCGAAAGTGGTAAGTGAGCTCTTTTCTGTGGGTTTTTGTGGTTACACACACGCCTCCGAGTACGCCTCCTCTAATCCCATGTCAGTCACCTCGATCTAGGCTATCGTATCTATGGCTTTAAGAACATAGCTCATTTCAATGGGTACTACCCACCGTCCACACCGAGGTTTAATCTAGGGTTCTATCTAGGAAGGTATTCTTTGGCAGGGGTAGGATCCCCTCGTCCACCATAAGATCCTATTCAGTCATCTAACCCTAATTTTAAAGATAGCGCATACCCGTCTATCCCTAAAACTCCATACCCAGCATAGAAGCTCAAGTAGGCTAGTAGAGAAGATTAGGGCGGCTTGCCCAAGCACAAATAAACTAGAGAAGCATTAAAATCAACTAGATAAACACATTCATACACAACCTATAAACTAGGGTTCATCTTCCCCAAACAACCATTAGAGGTTCAAGTCATTGAGAGATAAAGAAAATACAAACTAGAAGAGAGGGACTTTTGGAATCAATCTTCTTAGAAAACACAAACTAGAAGAGAGGGAGTGATGGAATCAATCTTCTTCTCCTTCTTGCTCCTTTGGTCACGGCCTGGTGGTCACGGTCGTGACGTGTGGCCGTGACCAGTGCCTCTTCTCCCCTTCTTGCTCTTATGATTTCCAATCGTGCTCGGATGAACTCCAATCGATTCCTGATCAATCCCAAATGCATATAAGACCTGGAATTTCATCACAAACACTTGGAAATGCATATAATCTCGATCGGTTAGCTCTCACGTGCGAACCTCTTTGTTTATTTTTTTGACAAGTTAAGCTCATTTGCAAAGGCTTCGAGTTCAAATGTGGTGGAGAGTCCCGCTGATTCGGGCTTATTTGTACACTTTTTACCCTCGATTTGCTTAGTCGTTTGAAGTATTTTTACTCCGTGAGGTTTGGTTTTATACCGGGTTTTTTGCCTTGTTTTGGTGTTTTTCAAACTTTGGCAGGGTGGAACCAACCCCGCAGTCGAAAGTTGGACGAAAGGGCGAAAATTCAAGTCAAAGGGTGGAAGCAGCAGCATATCACAGTTTGGGTTGTGTGTTCATGATCACTAAGACCGTGAACTGGGGCCGCTACCCGTGAACAACCAGGAATCCATAGCATAAATCGCTTTCACTGGACACAAGTTAGTTTATGGTCGTAAGACCGTGAACTCAGGCCATTGCCCGTGAACTAGACTTAGTGATGCGACACGTTTGGACATGAGATCATAGTATGGGCTTTCATTAAATGACCGTGAACTGGGATCGTGATCTGAGCCCGATCTGAGTATATAAAGGAGGTTAAGCTGAAGGGAAAAGGGGAGAGACCTAGTGTGAGAAACTTCTTATTCAGATTTCTAGAGTGAGAAAGTGCCAAACCAAAGAAGAGGAGAAACCAGGGTTTCATCTTCAAGCAAGGATTTGGGAATTCCTCCCCCGAAGGAGGATCTCTTCAACACAAGGAGCAAGGCTAGCATCTCATTGATGGTTTTCCTTCTTCTCTCTTGTGTTTTCCCTTCTCCTAGCATGGAGTAGTCCCTTCTTTCACTTGGGTGCTTGTAAACCCTAGCTACAATTATGTGAATGCTTGTATGGACTGAATGATTTGTGTGTGGTTGTGTTTAATGTGAATGTGGAGGTATTGTTCATGAATGATTGTGTTGTATGAAAGGCTATCAATCTAATTGCCATTCTAACATAGTTAGAGAGAAAAACCCCCTTCCTTTCTTTGAAAGAGGCTTGAATGCTGGGGTTTCTTAGGCGATTCATTGTCTCCTATCTAGGTTAATGCAGGGCAAACCTCTTATTTCGTATTAGCACCTAGGGTTGGTTGTGGGTGGTCGTGCGAACTCCGATTTGAGGATGAAGTCTTGGCAACCCTTAGTCAATAGGTCGAGAGAGTCACGTTGTTGGCTTGAATCGAATTTGCTTCCCTCGACCTAGAGACCGAGAGAGTGGCGCTCGGCTACTTGTTGCACTTCCCTACAGTTTACAACCCCGTTACCACACACGACCATTCGATCCAACAAGTCGTAATTGTTAGCATGGGGGAGCAACACCCGGGTGAAGCCTTCTCAATTAGTGTCAAATCCATTTGACTTTGCAAACATTTTAACTATAGATCGTTGTTTTCACCAAAAATCAACTGCTAGATAATGTTACAAACAATCGAAGTAGGGGTACATGAACCGGCCTGGGTCGATATTTAAACATACATGCCCTATACCGCACCCAATTGAGGTTTATACTTGAGCCTTAATTGGGAGTTCTATTGTGATATTTGGGACGAGTCAAGTTTTTGGCACCATTGTCGGGGAGCAAACGGTTCATTATTTTGAAAAGATTGTTTGGTGTTAATCTAGCTTTTACTTTTCGCTTTTGTGTTTGCAAATCTTGCTTGTGCTAGACGTGTTGTGGTTCTTTTGAGTGTGTGCAGGGAGGTGTATGACCCGGAGCAATCCGAAACCTTTGGCGCCACTAGACGAGAATCTCAACCGCACTCTCCGACACTTGGCTCATGAGAGCTTGGATTCATTGCATGAAACATATTCTTTCATCCAGGGGCGGACGCACAGGTGATTGGGGGTGTCCGGGGACACCCCTAAATTTTGGAAAAATGATTATCCAATGTACGGTGGTAAATTATGTATCGGGCACACCCCTGAAATTTGAAAAAATAATTATTCTACTCTCATCTTTTAGTTTGCGTATGAGAATATAAGTTGTAGTTTGAGTAATTCAAACCCAGGACACTATTATTATTAATAAAAATAATTTTCTTTAGAGTACAACTCATTTTTTGTTTGATTTTAAGCATAGTGTACTAGTAAAATGTCATTCCCTATCTCTAATTATTTTCAAAACCTAACAATTAAACAAATTAGTTTAAACATTGTTGTAGCACAAGTGTTGAAAGAGTCTTTTTAGCTTTGAGTTACATCAAGAACAAATTTAAAAATCGAATATGTGATCAGTTCGTGAATGATTATAGTAGGATATACAAAAACAATTTTTTTGAGCAGTGTAGACACCAAGTGTATTTTACAATTATTTTCGAATATGAAAACACATCATGGACCTTTTTTAACTTGTATAATTCACGTATTTTCTTATATAAGAATTTTTTAATAATTATTTTTATTTAATTTGATTTTTAAAAGAGGACACCCCTATGTAAAATTTCTGGTTCAACCGCTACTGCTTTCATCAAATGAACAGTGACTTTAATCCCTTGGCGCACAACAAAAGTGCATATTGGGTTGTTAAAGAATCAGCGAGAGGAAGTCTCCCTGCTGAATGGATTCTAAGTCCTTGATTTAATCTCACCATTGATGATTTGATGTAATAGGCAGAGCTTGTACTACAATCACTTATCAATTAAATTAATTTGTTGTAAAAAAAAAAAGGTGCTCAATATGTTTGTCCCGGATAATTGTTATTCGTGATTTTATAGTTTGCATCATATAATCTCATAGTTTACCGAAAGAAGAAAAAGACTTGGCACGCGCTTTCGCAGATTAGGGCTTGGAGACCATTTGAACCCAATGCTTGGTAAGCCGGAAGAATGAATAGCATGCAGTAGTCTAATTTTACTTTATTTGGCCTGAGTGAATTGATCATCCATAATTCCATTGCCATCAGGATTCCGGAGGGGCTCAAGATAGGGTGCATAACCCACGGTTATGCACCCATCAATAACCAAATCTGGACCATTCATTTAGAAAATTCAGATCTAAGGATGGAGAATTAAAGGCTATTTTTATTTTCACTAGCTTTCTTAATTGACTCATATCTTTTTCGTTTTAACTCGGATTTTAATTTTTTTTGCACAGATGGAACAAGTTCACCGTGCTCTACAAAATGAGATCAATTTTCAATATTTTTTTAGGAAAAAAAAAAATCTGGCCTCTCGGTACCAACTGCATACCATATGGTATCTTCTTCGTTTTTAATTCGTTTTTGAAAACGTTTGCACAATAGGGACGAGTTCATCATGATCTACTGGATCTAAAAATTTCTGGGCGAACAAATTACAGGACCAAAAAATACCACACAATACCATACAATACCACCCTGGTACGGGGTGGTATTGTATGGTATCTTCTTCGTTTTTAATTCGTTTTTGAAAACGTTTGCACATAAGGGACGAGTTCATCATGATCTATTGGATCTACAAATTTCTGGGTGAACAAATTACAGGACCAAAAAATACCACACAATACCATACAATACCACCCTGGTACGGGGTGGTATTGTGTGGTATACAATGTTAAAAGTCGTAAATTACAATTAATATACTTCTACTATCATGTATTCAACCATCCTACAGTATTGGTTTGTTCATACCACCATGGTACGTTTTTCAAAACATAGGTATGCTTTTATTTCAATACCAGTCAATACCATATGGTATAGGCTGGTAAAAAATGGCTCAATTTTTTTTGTTCGAAAAATATAGTAAAGTGGATATCATTTTGAAGAGCACAATTAATCTGATCTAACTGTGCAAAAAAAATTAAATTTTGACTTAAAATGAGCGAGAAATCATCCGTCAAAGATTAAAGAAGGAAAAATTAAGGCTTTCCATGAGAGAGAGGATGTTGATGTCATGCTGATGTGGATGGGTTACTCATGGTTACTCACCATAAGGTTACTGACCTGATCCATTCCCTTCCGGAGGCAATCTAATCTGCAGGCACGAGATTTGGTTCTAAGAAGAGCTCTTGTCCGACGTACGTGCCTCATTTTCCTTGCATGTCACCTTTTGCAGTATATATATTATTCTTATTATTAGTTCCGTGCTAGCTGTTCATTAATTAATTAATTAAAATCTGCCTTTTTTTGGAGCCGTACGTTGTATAGATACCCAACAGCTCGCAGTTCTGATGGATGATGTTGTTGTTGTTATTGTTATCAATTATATCATCATCATCATTATAAATCCCAATTCCTTTGACGAACAAAGGTAACAAACAGTTGGTGCCCGTGCCATACAATAATCCTCAACCTCATATTCATTGATTCCCTTGGAACCATCGATCATGACGATGAAGTACGAAGTGGCGTCCTTCGCCGGCGGTAATACCAGCGGTGGAACACTACCACCGGCAGCGGAGCGGCATAATAACAACGGCGGAGATGTGGCGGTGCCGGTGGGGTACAGGTTCAAGCCGACGGACGAGGAATTGGTAAAGCATTACTTGATGGACAAGGCCTTCAATCCCGCTTCTCCACTTCCTTCCTACATCGGCCGCGACATCCAAGCCTCCCGCTTCCTCAATCTCCCTCCCCATCGTCTTGGTAAGTATCTATTGATTAATTCACATCACTACGTACTGAGTTTAATTGTTTACGAAATTTCTTTCTGATCAATGCACAATATTGTGGATTCACTTCCATCCACCAAATTAGGACTAGGTAGCTAGATTTCTTAATTAATACCCATATAATAACATATATAATAATGTTCTTGATTTCTGGGAATACAGACCTGTGTGAATAGATAGACAAATTGTTCATAATCTATATGTTCTTATTATTATTTTCTTCTTAATGATGGAGGAGATATGGTTTGGTTTTGATCGTGAAAGAAAAGGAAATGGAATAGAAGTCTTGTTTTTTTTTATTTTTATGAAAAGGTGCAAACACCATTACCTCAGATTAAGAAATCGAACAGACAACAAATTCACCAATCAAGTCATATAAAACCTAATGATCAATGTCAGGATCGGTGAAATGGGTAGAGATAGACCCAGGGTCTAACAGATGATCTTTATGAGCTGAACAATCTGCTAGGAAGTTTGCCTCTTTATAGATATGCTGAACTCTCACATCCCAATCCTTGTTAAACAAGTCTCAAAATGCTAGTACGAGATTAGCATGCTGGTGATTGACTGGGCTGTCGAGAGCTAGAAGGTAAGCGGTCGTCGTGGAGTCGAGCTGAAGTTCAACTTTTTTGTAGTCTGCATCCCATGCCATTTGGAGTCCCTGTAGGGAGCCCCATAGCTCCGCTCGAGTGATCGTACATCTTTTTCAGGTTTATCGAGTAGGCACCGAGTAAGCGACCATGTCCATCACAAAGCGCCCCTCCTGCAGCAGTAGACCTTGACGATCGCAATAGCGAACCGTTAGAGTTCACTGTGATCCAGCCTGTCAGAATCAGTCTCCACGCTACAGCCACGTCTCGACACGACCCCGACCTCCCTAGTGAAATAGCTAGCGCCTAGTCACGAAGGAACGGTCAAGAAAGCCATCTAGCTAGCTAGCTAGCTAATTTTAGGGAACTAATTAGGACTACCTATTTTAGTTCCCCTTACTCTCTCTAAGTTTGTTCCTTTCTTCCTTTTTCAGTTTGTGTTTTCTCTAGGGGTGGCTATTTGGTTCGATTTTTTTGGTTTTACTCGAAACCAGACGGTATAACCTGAACCAAAACCGGACCAGGATAAGATAGCAAACAATCCAATTCGGTTTTCGGGCTTAGATTTGAGGTAAAAAACTGTCCGGAACCGGACCGAAAACCGGATAAAGACCGGATAAGAGAGCCCAACAACCAAAACCTAACCAAGTCCTCACCATTTTATGCCCCAGCCCACTCAAACCCCCTATAAGCTAAATCTAAAATGAAGACCGGATTGGGATCGGACCGGGTCAAAATCGAACTGTATCCAATCCAATTTTCGGTCCTCATATTCTCAAAAAGACCGAACCGGAACCGTATCAATTCGAGTCAATTTAATCGGACCGCACCGTATAACCACTCCGAGTTTTCTCCCTTTCTATCTCAAGATTGACAAAAAGATTCACTGAACCAAACTAACAAATGGTATAAGCCTATGAGGTTTAATAATCGCATAAGAATAATTAACTTAATCAATTTTTTGTGTATTCTAAAAATATGTTAAAACAATATATATACTTATTTTAAATTTTGATGATTGAAATATAACTTAACTTATTAGGTATCATTTAATAATTTGATATTTAATATCTAATAGATCATGAAATACTAAATTTGTTCAACCTCTTCTTACTAGTCTTGCTTGTCCTCCCTCCCTCTCGCCTTTTATTTGGCATGCAGAATTGCTAAACAAAACAAAAATACGACGACTCAACTCAGACTCAGGCATTAGAGGAAACCAATGTGAAACTGGTTTATTATTATCATTATTCGAAATCACTTAGCAATAGCATCGTTACATTGTGTTCAAATTTTTAGTATAGTGATGATGGTGATACAACCATTCATAGTTTAGTGAAACCATTTCAGTTTGTATATACATACATATGATGGTCCTGACTGTGTATCTGTTTAACCTTCATTTTGATAAATACAACTTGCAAACGAGCAGTGTCGTTGATGAGCAATGGAGAGAGGGAGTGGTTCCTCTTCATCCACCAAGACCAAGATTTGGAAAGTGAAGCTATTTGGACGACAGGCTGTGAGGTGCGACGAATGGTAGGGAACGGCGTAGGGTTCTGGAGATCCTTCCAAGCCTCAGAAAAGCCCATTTGCGACTCCTCTGGGGCCCCATTGGGCTTCAAGTCTCAGTCCACTTATTTTACAGCCGCCTCCTCTTCCTCTTCCTCTTCCTCAAAGAAGACTCACTGGAAACTCCATGAGTATCGCCTTCACAGTCCTCGAAATATCAGGGTGAGTACATATATATATATCTGTCAAGTCATCCTCCTGCCTTTCGTAACATCGCCACCAGCTCTATAGAGTCGCGAATATGAATATGAAAAAACGAAATTGATGGTATTTTGGTGATCAACTTATTTTCAGGGACAAGAATGGGTATTGGCCAGACTTATAAGGGGCACCGACTACAATAGGAACATGTAAACATTGCTTTTCTTTTCCAACATTCTTTGTTCATTTCATTTGTCTACATTCCTTATTCTTTCGTTATTGAGATGTATGTAGCACGACAGCATTGTAGCTAATATGCCACCTTTAGATTACCACAGTATTAATTATTCAGATAATTCTTTAGTCCTTTGACCGAATGTCATCTATGATACTTTTATCTCTGAATCTCATTTGATTAATAATATATATATACTAGAACATGCTTTTGTATCATGATTAAAGGAAACATTGCTTACTATGTGAATGCACTTGCCCAAAAAACAAATAAAACTAGCAAAGCTAAATATATAGCATGTTTGGTCACTGGATTAACTATTTCGTTTCTGGTTTTTCACCTAAAATTTTTAATTGCATTAGTGATCACTCTAACCAAAACAATAATTCCAATTTTGATCACGGTTCGTCAACTTTCGTCAGAGTTCTTTAACGTTGAATCATCCAATTTAACTAAAAAATTGAAAACTCGTCATACATGCAAAAATATGACACAACCTTACTAACCTAACACAACAATTTAACTGGCTGACTCATTATATTTGAAAATTAAATAACTGTAAAGAAAACCAGAAAAGAGTGGATCTCGTTGGTCTGCATCTCTTATGTCGAGTTTCTTTCTCTCTCTTTCCTCCTTTTTACAAAAAAATATTGAGGTAGATACCATTATAGTTAAATGAAAAAGCTGACATGTATATCTTATCCTATGAATCATGATTTAGTTGATTCTTTTTTAGTGCATGGTGTTATGAATTATGTTTGTAGTTATGGTTACGGAGATTAGTAAAAGGAAAAATGGTCCTAGGCTAGTTGGAACTGCGTGCACCTGGCCACTAACTAGGGATGTGGGATTTACTCATGCTCATTGGGTTTTAAATATCCGATCCAAGTTGGTCAAGTAAGAAATTCTAGTCAAATATAAATGAGCAAAATCTAATAAGTCAACATCATACTCATAATGTTGGGTCCAATTGGGTATTACCCAAGGATTTGGGTTAAAAAATCCAAACCAAAGTAATTAAACGAAAAACCAAACAAAAACATCGCCCTCTTCCTAAACACCACTGAGGCGCCGATGGCTTTGTGACTAGCCAGCTCTTCCTCTCACTCTCGATAGTTTTATCTTCTCCGATAAATATGATTCCGGAGAGAGAGGGTCAGGTCGCTTCGCCTCTTCGCCCGCTTCATTTTGTCGGTAGTTCGGTGCAACCGAACAAATTAATCGGAGATGTGCTTGACGGTGGGAGATGGTGATTCTCTGCAACAAAAACAGAGAAAATCCAGCGAGGGGCGACGGTCTACTCCAGTTTGAGGATCGCGGTGGCCGGTCAGGCGGAGATCGCTCGACAGAGCAAATTCCGATGGCATGATTCCATAGTTAGATGTGATTTAAAAAATTTACTTTTTAGTACCTAAATTTTATAAAGAGATACAAATAGGTCCAGCATCATGTGCGGAAAATTATATTTTGATACCTTAAAAATTGTCTGACATTTTAGTACGTAAAAACTAAACATTTATAAGAAGGTCCCAAGTGATGGGTACCCATGCCCAACCCATACTCATTTAGAAAGTGAAAACAAAATCCAAACCCAACTTCACATATCCAAACACTATCCAAACTCATATAGAATAAATCCATATCCTACCCATAATAGATGGATATAATTGGGTTTGGGCAAAAATATCATTAGCTATGTAAGAAGGCTTGAATAGAAATCATCAGTTGCAATGGCGTCTGGCGGGAAATGGAAGAAGATGAAGTTTGAATGCATTTCAGACTCGAATACGATTCGTTATATGGGGAACGTTTCGAGCATTCGTTCGAAACGCATTGACGTCGTTTTTATCATTAGTGGAGTTAGTTTCCTTTTAGTTTTACTTTCTTCACCACGTGTCAAGGTGAATTTGGATTTGTGTTTTATTTACCGTTGTAAATAGTAAAACTGGAAGCTAGGTATAAATAAGAAACAAACCCAACAACTCGTTCATTGCGGGTTTTCGAATCGGCCTCTATCAGCTCGATATTTTCTTCATGGTATTAGAGCCTCAGATCTTAAATCTCTCTCTTGGTTGCGATGTCTGGTGGTTCCAGCGCTACTACTCAGCCGTTTACTCCGCCTAGCACCGGAGCTCGTTCTACCGCCGGTGTCCAATTTGGGAGTTACACAGAGAATTCAGATCAGGGTAGCAGAGGTGATGTCCACTTTGAAAACCCATTTTATTTCAATCCAAATGCTAATACATCCCAGCCGATCATCGCTGGGGTTTTGGATGGCACTAATTACTCCATGTGGAGTCGATCTATGCGTACGACGCTCAAAACTAAGCACAAACTCGGATTCATTAATGGGTCAATTCGAGCTCCTTTCCCCACTGATGCTCAGTTCTATTTGTGGGATGGTTGCAAAACTCTGGTTTTGTGTTGGATTGTTAATTCACTGCAGAAGGAGATCGCTCGAAGTTTCATGAATCATGAGAATGCTCGAGTGCTGTGGGATGAGCTCAAACGCCGATTTAGCCAACCCAACGCCCTTCGTATCATGAATATGGAGAGATGAAATTCAGGCCTGGAAGCAAGGGGCTCATTCTGTTACTCAGTACTACACCGACATCAAGGGGTTATGGGAAAATTACCTGCAATTTTCCCCCATTGTTCCTTGTGTCTGTGTTCCTTGGAACCCTAACCCCTGTGCAGCTGTTGAGGCTTTCAAATTGAAGCAAGAAACTTATTACCTCTTGCATTTTTTTGAGAGGTTTGAACCCAGAATATGAATTTGTTAAAACCCAGCTGCTTATGCTCAAACCCCTTCCTACAATTTCCGCTACTGTCAATGACATCCTTCAGCATGAGCAGAAGCTTAAAGGAGATCCCCCTTCCAAGGGTAGTCAGTCTGCCGCCTTGGCAGCTGGGAAGGAACCATTTAGAGGTAAAAAAGACGACAGTTCTGAGAAGCTTTTCTATCGTTACTGCAAACATACGGATCATACTATTAAGGACTGCTGGACACTCAAAAGGAAAGAAAAAGAGAAGGCATGCCACTCTTTTGCTAGTTCTGTTAGTCAGGAATCTCAATCTTCAGATAGCAACAATTATGTTTCTGATGGTGGTTCCAGCCCTTCCAAGACTTCTCTCAGACTCTCCTTTGATGAACTTACTCAACTCAAGACATTCCTGCAGTATGTGATGGATTTAGGTCCTCTATCACCAGGATCACCAATTATTTCTCCTAAGGCTTTTTCAGTGTCCCAATACCTACCTGCATTTCCCAACCATGCTGGTAAGTATGTTCTTTCCTCCCATGTGGACATTGAACACTCTACCTTAGCATCAATATGGATTTTGGATACGGGGGCTTCTTATCATATCACATGTACTGCCACTCATTTTGTCGAGTCCATTGCAGTCACCAATATTTTTGTTTACCTACCCAATGGTGTTAAAATTCTTGTTAGTAATATTTGCACAACACAACTTCCTTCCGGCCTTCTTTTGTACAACACTTTGCTAGTTCCTAGCTTCACCTTCAACCTCATTTCTGTTAACAAGACTTATCTGTTTCTTTGCATTTCAAAACTAATGTTTGTGAACTTTAGCATCATCACCAGACCCATAAGAACATTGGTTTGGCAAAACAAGGTAGAGGTCTCTATCACTTGACTCCCACCACATCTCCACCTTCTACTCCTTCCTTCACACTACCTCAGGCTGCCTTCACATACAATTTCCAATCTCAACCTGTTGATCTTTGGCATTGGTGTTTAGGCCATCCCAGTAGAGATAGGTTTCATTTACTTCAAAAACAACACTCTATTGTTACCAGTGAGGTTGTTTCTCACTGTGAAACTTGTCATTTGTCCAAACAAAAGAAGCTTCCTACTCCTGTTAATCACAATTCTGCTCTAGTCCCTTTTCATTTGATTCATGCTGATATATGGGGTCCCCTATCTGTGAAATCGTATGATGGCTATGCTTATTTTCTTACCATTGTGGATGACCATAGTCGTGCTGTTTGGATTTACCTTATGCATGTTAAAGGAGAAATTAGGGAGTTGTTACAAGGTTTCTGCACTTTGGTTCATCACCAGTTTGATCACAGGGTGAAAATTATACGTAGTAATAAGGGTATGGAGTTTCACATGGCTGATTATTACAGAACCCATGGTATTGTTCATCAGACCTCCTGTGTTGAGACCCCTGAACAAAATGGTCACATTGAACGTAATTGATAGATGTCTAATCTAATTCTACGATAAAGTACTACAGAGAAAACTAATAACTTTAGGGTTTATTCTTCGCATAATCCAGCCAAATGACATAACTAGGGTTTATATAGTTGCCTAACCCTAACCGACTAATGACAATAAAGTAAATAACAATAATACAGTAAATAGCGTGTATGTATACACACATCAATCTCCTCCCCTTCAAGCATAACCTTGTCCCCAAGGTTATTCTCTTATGTCATCCGGAAAATCGCCGACCATCAAGAACAACTCCTGGCCTGCACAACGATGACCGATCGTGAATCGCTCATCACAGTTGAAGCACAGCCCGTCCCTCCGTCACCTTGCCGTCTTTGCTGGGGTACGCTTGATAGTTCCCAACGGAACATTGGGCGGTGCCCGCGCTAGTGTAGCCACGTTCCCGAATGGTGCCTCTAACCCAAGACGCCCTTCTTCCCACTCCTCCTCCCTCCCCTTCGCCAATCGAAACACCTCTCGCAATGATTGAGGCTGGAACTAAGGAACTCGACTAGCGATTGCTGGTTTTAATCCTGTCAAATAAGCATTGGTCAAAGTACTCACAGGCCAGCCTCGGCAGCGATACGCTAGCTTCTCAAACTCGAATCGGTTCTCATCAACTGATCCTGCCTGTCTCAGCTTCATAAGATTCTCTTCCCTCACGCATTTGCCAGCCAGTTCAAATTTAGAACAAAGCTCTTCCTTGAAACGCTCCCATGTCACCACCTCCCTGCTAGCCTCCACTGTATACTCCAACCACTGCCACCACTGCCCTGCATCGCCTTCCAAGTAAAATGCAGCCCATAACACTTTCTGATCTTCTAGTATTCCTTGATACTTGAAACATCTTTCAGCCCGAGAGATCCAAACCGTTGAATTTCGGAAATTCCAGTTGTGGCGGTCTGACTTTGAGGACTTCCTAAAATCCTATCAAAGGTCTTTCTCCACCTAGTGTAACCTGCTGCCCAAACTAAATCAGTTCCATGTGAATTTGATCCAAGCGATTCGTTGACCAGCCCAACCTAGAATCATTCAAACCAGACCAGCCTGGCCCACCTCCCAAATTCCCCCATGGAACATGAGATTCATTTGCTCCCTTATGGCCTTGGGCCACAAAATTTCCCCCCGTAAGATTTTGTTGCCCAGTATCAGAAGTCCCTTCCATTACCTTATCGCAACCGTACTGGTTAATAGGGAAGTCGCCGTCGGCAAACTGGCCACCCCCGCCGTTTGAACAGTTTCTGATGTGACCTGCTCCCCATCCAAAATTGAAGCCCGATCGAAATCCGAGTGGTGGGTTCGTAGCCGCCGTCAATATTAATCCTCCACTTTTCGCAGGGGTCCCAACAAGGTGCTCCTTGCTTCGAATTGCCGCAGATCCGTAATCCAAAGCCAACGATCCCCAAGCTGCCCCAGTGGTAGGTACCGTAGCCGAACCGTTCTCTCCCATGGTGATGGGATTCTTCTCAGAGCCCTGCACTTTTCTTCCCCCCGTAACCCCCGAAATCTCTACTCCTTTTGCCTTGTCCATTGACGGAGGGGATGTCATCTCCGTGGCCCGTTCTTGCGTCACCGTCGTTACAGCTCCGGGCATGCTATTGGTGTTTTCGGCGATCTACCCGGACAGCTGCTGGATCTGATTTGTAATTTGTTGCAAGGCGGTTTGCATCATGGCCATATCTTTCTGAAATCCCGTTGTCATCGTCGCGTTGATATCGGTGATTCGTTTATCAAAAGCTTGAAACCTATCATCGATAGCCCCTTTCACTTCACCGTTTCTGGTATCGAGCACCATAATGGAATGGCAGATCAACCGCTCTGATACCAATTGATAGATGTCTAATCTACTTCTACGATAAACTACAGAGAAAACAAATAACTTTAGGGTTTACTCTTCGCATAATCCAGCCGAATGACATAACTAGGGTTTATATAGTTGCCTAACCCTAACCGACTAATGGCAATAAAGTAAATAACAATAATACGGTAAATAGTGTGTATGTATACACGCATGAGTAAGCACCAGCATATTTTGAATGTTTCCAAGGCCATTCGTTTCCAATATGGTGTGCCATTGAATTTCTGGAGTGATTGTGTCTTCCATTCTATTTATCTCATTGATCGCCTTCCCACTCCCATTCTACAAAATCGTTCTCCTTATGAACTTGTGTTTCATTGTCCCCCTGATCTTAGAAATTTAAAGGTCTTTGGTTTATATGCTTCCCCACTTGTTCATGGTCGTACTAAGTTTCAACCACGGACCATTCAATGCATTTTCCTTGGTTACCCTGCTGGGATCAAGGGTTACAAGCTACTTGATTTGTCCACTCATAGAGTCTTCACTTCACACAATGTTCTCTTTTATGAGACCATTTTGACTTTTAAATCTCCTCCTGAAACTACTTCCCTAGCTGCCATTCCAAATTCTTCCTCTTCTCCACCTTTGGCTCCTTATTCTATCCCTTTCCACTCCCAATCCTCCTGTTTCTGAGGAATCAACGAGGCCAGTCCCTCAATTCTTTCAACTTCCACTTCTGATTCCTCAGTCACAGTGCCTTCCCATTCTCTTGATAGTCCTTCTTCTTCTTCTTCTTCTTCTTCTTTTCCTGTTGATCAGCTAAAAGAGCTAGATTATGATGATACTGAAATCTCAGAATTGGTTCCCCAAGTAGAATTTGTACCAAAACCAATTCGAGCTAACAGGTGTCAGTTACAAGTCAAGTTTGGAGATTATTATGTTGGATTTGCTAGCAAATATCCCATGGACAATTATCTTAATTATGATTCTCTTTCTCCTACTGATCGAACTTATGCATTGAGTGTGGTTTCTGAGATAGTACCTAATACCTATGCTGAAGCAGCTCAATATGAGCATTGAAGGAGAGCCATGGATGAAGAAAGGGAAGTGCTAGAGGCAAACCACACATGGGATGTTGTTCCATTACCTCTTAGTAAAAAGGAAATAGGGAATAAATGGGTTTACATAATTAAAAGGAGACCAGATGGCCAAATTAAGAGAAACAAAGCCAGACTTGTGGCAAAGGGCTTCAAACAAGTATATGGAATCGATTTTCTAGACACATACTCACCTGTGGCCAAAATCAATTCTGTTAAGATCTTATGAGACATTGTTGCCAGTAAGGGATGGGTTTTAGACCAAATGGATGTTTCTAATGCTTTTTTGCATGGTGATTTGGAAGAGGAAGTATACATGGCCTTACCACCTAGCGATCCTCGTGCAAATGAACCAGAAACTTGTTTGTAGACTAAGAAAGTCTTTATATGGATCCTTACACTAAACACCTTCGGGCAACTTACAGGGTACTCAGGTACATCAAGGGAACACCAAATCAAGGGATCTATTTCGAGAGTGAGTCCTCATTACAACTTTTACGCTATAGTGACTCCGATTGGACAAGCTGCCCTGACTCAAAAAGGCCTGTTAGTGGTTATTGCACGTTTTTGGGTGATTCTCTAGTAACTTACAAAGCAAAGAAACAAACACTTGTGTCCAGATCCTCTTTAGAAGCAGAGTACCGAGCTTTGGTCCAGCTAGTATGTGAGTTACAATGGATGAAATGTTTGCTTGCAGAGTTGAGTGTCAATGTTAAACTTCCTATTCAGTCTATTGTGATAATAGATCAGCGAATCATATTGCTGAAAATCCAATGTTTCATGAAAGGACCAAGCATATTGAGATCGATATGCATGTCACTAGGGACAAGGTGAAATCAGGATTAATTAAGCTTCTCCATGTTAGAACAACTGATCAAGTTCCTGATCTCTTTACTAAGGCTCTAAGCAGGTTCAAAATTGCAGAGTTACTCGACAAGCTTGGTGTGCAGACACTCCAGCTTGAGGTTGTAAGAAGGCTTGAACAGAGTTCATTAGCTACAATGGCGTCGGGTGGGAAATGCAAGAAGATGAAGTTTGAATGGTTTCGGACTTTAATACGATTCGTTATATGGGGAACGTTTCGAGCATTTATCCAAAATGCATTGACGTCGTTTTATCATTAGTGGAGTTAGTTTCCTTTTAGCTTTACTCTCTTCACCAAGTGTCAAGGTGAATTTGGATTTATGTTTTATTTACCATTGTAAATAGTAAAACTGGAAGCTATGTATAAATAAGAAACAACCCACCAACTCGTTCCTTGTGGGATTCCCGAGTCAACTCGATATTTTCTTTATGGTAAATTGCAATCCCTACGACACTATCACAAACTGGGCAACAACATATGTAGTATCTCTCAAAGCAGGAGAGGCTCATGAGATGCAGTTGGAAGAACAGTGTAATGCATTTTATTTGATCAATGTATGAAGAATCCTCTACTTCATCATGTCCGGGCAAGCTAGTTTGGTTTGATACACATATAGCAGTGCAAGAGAACGAACCTGCAGAGTCGATGATGATATGAAGATTGGTGCCTACTTTTGACATCCATCCATTCACAAAATGAAAAAGATTTTTTTTTTATTTCAATGCGCATGGGAGGCAGCATAAAACTAATTAACTCAACCAAAATTCATAGCATAAAAGTTTCTTTTAGAAGTTGTTCTTGTCCAAAATAAGTACTCCTGCTAGCTAGTTGCTTAAGATACTACTAGCTCTGCCACTGAATATATTTTGTTGACAAGACAAGTCCTAGCTATTTATCTTAGAAAAAATGTAACAATTGGGTGGGCTGTCAAATGCCCACTGGTTCGGCTTCTTCCTCAGGGGTGAAGAGAAGTCATTCTTGATATTGAAAATCTTCCTTATCTCCTCCGACAGGTTAGATCCAACAGACCCTTGATGTTCAAATAGTTGGCATCTTGAAATAAATTATCCCCCAGCGCAAACAATTAATACCAGCTAGTTGCTCACTCTATCAAAACAAAACTAACAAGGAATTGGCACACTGTAGTAAGTAATTTAATATACTTTACCAGTATGAGGTGGTAGAGTGTGGATTAGACGAGCTTGGCGAAATCGGAGTCCCAGGCCTTGAGATCGATCGTTGGCGCCATCAGAATTGTGAGGTGGGATACCGTCATCGGCGCAATGGTCCTCGATCATGTGCTTTATCGTCTGGGACTGCATCGCCACCACCTCAAACGACTCGCTGTCGCTGCTCTTCAGCGTGAATGTCTTGCTTGTCATCGACATCTTTTAATTAACAATATCCTATCCCCACTACCAATTCTCCGACTCAATTGTTGTTTGGTACATAAGTCTGCGAGGACTGCAAGAGCCGAGCGGCCCAAGTAAACCAAAACTTCCTTCCAGAACCTTCTACTAGTTAGGATTTCTTTACCAGGTAGGACTTAGGTCACCAGAGCGCGGAGCAGGAGCGGGTGCGGGAGACGAAGTGTCAGAGCGTTTATTTTCCAAGAACTCAATATTGAGAGCGTGAACAGAGCGTCAATATTTTTTTTATTTTATTCATAATGTATTATCTTTCTGATCCGGGCCTAATTGTACACATTTTATCCCCGTTTCCATTGGGTGTTTGTGGCATTCTAACTCTTGAAAGGTCAGTTTACGCTAGATTTTGTGCATTTCAGTGTGTTTCAAGATCGAATAGGTGAAACCAGCCCTAGAGTCGAAAGTCGGAAGAAAAGGGGCAAAGACCAGGCAAAAAGGGTTATTCAGGCCATGTTCACGGTTTTACATTGGAGTTCACGGTCTCCTAAGGCCGTGAACTGAAGCCATAAACTGTGAACCGTGAGGCGTCCAGGCAAATTCTGAAGTTACTGACGCAAGTTGAGTTCACGGTCAACAAGACCGTGAACTTTGAGTGCAAACCGTGAACTCAAGTGAGTGAAGCGGTGCGTTTCGACACATCACTCCGAGTTCACGGACGCGTTGAAGAGTTCACGTCCATGAACTGAGGCCGTGAACTGAGCCCGATCCCAGTATAAAACGTGAGCTGAAAGGAAGAGAGAGGAAGAGCCCAAGAGTGAGAAAGCACCTTCTTCTTTAGATTTTAGAGAGAGAAAGGACGAACCAAAGAAGAAAGGAGCCTAGGGTTTGCTCCAAGTGATGAATTAGGAAGAATCTCCTCAAGAGAAGATAAACACAAGATCAAAGGAGAGTGGAGGCATCACCATGATGGTTTCTACTTCTTTCTTTTGTGTTCTTCCCCTTTCTAGCATGGAGTAGTTACCTTTTTCACTTGGGTGTTATGAAACCCTAACTATTTGCCATGTAGTTTTAGTGTGAATTGAATGATTGTTTACGAGTGTTGTTTAATTTAATAATTGTGCATGTTTGTGCTTAGCAATCTAATTGGCCATGCTAACCTAGGTTAGAGGGGAAACCCCCCTTTCCAAAAGAGGCACAATTGAGTTGGGATTCCTTGGGCTTATCAAGCCACCTACCTAGGTTAGTGTAGGGAAAACCTCTATCTTGAATTAATCGACTAGGTTAATTGTGATTAAGCCGTCCAACCATCGGTTTGAGGGAGAAGGCAAGTCAACCCTAAATTGCCTTAATCAAGAGGGATACTCTAGTAGCCTATAATGTATCCATTGGTTTGCTAATTGAGAGTGTGGTCTTCGACCATAGTTGCACCTCCTAGCGGTTCACGATTGCCTTGTTCATAACATCCCATTCGAATCCACGTGCTATGGTAGTAGTTAGGGGGAAGCGACACCCGAGTGATCCTTCTCATCTAGAGCTTTCAAACCATTTACATTTGCTTTGTTTTACTTTAAACTTCATTGTTTTCAATCAAAACCAATCCGCTAGATAATGTTTCAATCAATGGAAGTAGGGGTACATGGACCGGCCCGGATTGATATTTAAACATACTTGCACTACATTGCACCCATCTAAGGTTTATACTTGGGCCTTAGGTGGGAATTTGTTGTGATATTCGGGACAAGTCACTTTTCTCAAAATATATTGGATAGTATACGAGCAATATTATCATACTTCACCCAGATAGATGTGATTTTTGAGTATTCATTAAAAATGTTCCTTGATCTAATACCAGTATGAAAAAAGTAACGACAAAGTTAAAGTATGAAGTAGCTTAACTATTAGATAACTAAGTATAAATAAATATTAGATGATTAATATTAAAATAATAAATAGTAAAACATATCCCACTTGCTGCCCTCTCCCATTGTCAGTATAATTTTTTTTTTAAAACAATCGTTATCTCACTAAATGTAGTCGTTTGATCGATATTCCAATTATCCGGCCTTTTTCCTTTTTTCCAGAAAATATTCATCTCTCTCTTCTCTTTGGATCCTCCGCTTGCACTTAACCCTTTCTTTCCCCCTGCAGGAATTGTAAATACTCTGTTTTTCTCACTTCTGCTTCTCTATTCTCAGTTTCTTAATCAGTAAATTGTGTATATCTCATGTCGTCTCTGTAACATCACGATTTTTGGGTATGGTTACGTCAATAAGTAAATTAGGATTTTGGTGTTGTAAATGGTGAGAATGAACCCCAGCCTCTGTTCATTCACGTGGAAGTACATGTACATTTAGACCACCAAATTTCATATTATTAAAACCAACCCGCATCACAGCTGGCTCCCAATCGTTCATTTCCTCTTGTGACCCAGCCTCCATAAAACAGATCACTCTCTCCATCACCATTATGATTCCACCTCACACTCAACTACTGCCAACACCATGGAGCTGGCCTTTTAATAGGTAAAGTTGGGTAATGCAAAGGAGAGTGTCGGCAGACTAATGCTTAAAAATAAAAAAATTCCTTTCTTCTTGCCCTGCCGAGAACACCATCATCATCACTTTCCAGGCTACATCACCAACTTACCTCGATCAGAAGCATGGAGTGGGACGCCCCAAATCACCGGCGGCCAACGAAAGCAACAACTCGCCTCGGTTCGCGTCGAGCGTACACCGCCTCCCGCCTCCGCACGTAACTCTGCTCGTCGATCAGTTCTCAACCCGTCTCTCATATGAAACACATCCCAGAAGGTAAGAACCTCCATCGTACAAATTTCTTAAGCTTGAATCGTTGGAAGCTAAACTGGAACTCGTGCATTACACCGTAGTACCGGCGACCTCCAAAGACCAACCCGGCACCGTTGACTTTGTCGACTTTGACAATACTTAAAAAATTGGTTACTGTTGCAAAGAGGACGATTCCATGATCATCACCGTTTCGAAAAAATCGAATTTCGACGTCGGACGATGGAGAAACGAGCATCGAAAGTTGGAACGAAAACCCATCGGTTCAGGTACCATTTCAGCTAATTCGAAAAGTATGAGGATACGTCTGTAATTGTGTTTAGGAAATAACCAGATCGGTACCTCAAGCATTCAGTGCGAGTAGCTTAGTCCCAATATTTTAAGTTTTGATAATTTGGCCCGAAAATCGTTTTTTTCATGGTTATGTTAATTTCCGACACTTTTCCGAGTGTATTTTCATAATATGATAATTTTATTAATTTGAGAATATTTGTATGATGCTCGTGTATAAATTTTAGAATTTCTGAATCTGTATTTTTATTTATAAAAATTGAACGAATGATGGTTTTAATTAATTAAAATACTGTACGAAGTCATTTTGGTGATTTGATAATTTTCCATGAAACTAGGATTATTTATTGATGTTATAAAATTATGTATCAGAATTATTAGTGTTGGTGACTTGGTTTAAAAGTTATATATGATTAATTTTAATAGGAAAAGGAGGTTATTTAAAAGAGGGGCTTATGTTTATTAATTGGGATTAATGATTTGAGTTAACCAAGGTCAGAATGTGGAGTCTTAAGTGGAAAATATATTTTGAGAAATTTATGAGAATTGTATGAGAATTATTTTAAGAAATATTGAATTGTTTGAGATGATTTAATTCTTGATTAAAGAGGTTGAAAAGTTTAGTTTTGAGGAAATGATTTAAAAGAGATTGAGGGCCATTTTTAAAGGATTTGGAGACTAAGTAATCAATGAGGGAAATTTTCCCCATACGTTAAAGGGACTAAATCTGAGGATTACCAACTAAGAGAAGATGATTTCAGTTTATAGGATTGAGGAAGCGATCGGATTAGGGATTTCACGTCAAGGGAACTCAGAATTGTCATTTTAGAGGTGAGTGGTTTAAGTGGGTAAATTCTACGACTTACGATTTTCAAGTATTTGACTTACGAGTTTTGAGTATGTGTGTTTATGTGAATTCTATGCCAGTGATTGCTTTATGTCGTGACTGATAAAGCATGTTTTATTTGAGATATTATCTGAGATGCTCTATTTGAGTTATGATTGTGAAGTATATGATTATTTGAGCTTACAGTATTTACTTTAAGCTTTTATATTTATGTTTATTTAATGAAGATTGTTTAATCTTTAAGGATCAACATTTAAGAGGTATTTCACTCCTAATTAAATTAGGGTGAAAGGATTTAAAGATAGTTCACTAACGACAGTCCCCCGCCCAGTGAAAGTTTAAAGGAAGAGCAAGTTTGCTCTTAAGGAACATGTGGATGAATCACTTAGACATCACATGAAGTTTAAAGGAAGAGTATGATATACTCTTAAGGCTTATGGGGTTGAATAGATTACTCTCATAAAAAGGTTTAAGGAAAGGCCTATGTTGGCCCTCATACGTATGAGCTGGGCGGTTGGACTAGTTAGTGAGGGGATCCCAGTGTCTGTCAAAGGTTTAAGATTTTTGAGGGTGGCGAGTAACAGCAACTCCCACGTTTTAAGAGTTAAAGTTTAAAGGGTGGAAGTATAAATAACTTCCACGGGTTTTTGAGGTGAACACTTAAGGGAATACCCGTAAGTGCTTCAAGTTTAAGTAATGGCGTAGACTGACCCCAACCCACTCACCAGGTCGTAGAGGAGGAGCTAGGGAGCATCCAGTCGAGGAGCATCCAGTGAGAGAGCAGGCTACCAGAGGAGGACCACGTGAGCACTTCTGAAGATGTCTGACCACGGATCGGAGTAAGCAGCATTTGTAATCTTTAGTTATTTGCTTTATGATTATGAGTAATGACTGGAGATTTAAAAGGATAAGACTTTATGGATTGAGGTTTGCCCAAATGTTAGGGTTTTGCTTTTATATTATAAGGTGTATTTTCAGTATTGGTATTTCGAGCACATTATTATTTCTTTCTTTCAAAATTTTAAATATGATCCGGAGCAAAATTGTTATTTAAAGGTTTTAGAGATCGGGATGTGACA